GGAAGTAGATTGCCCAACCTTCCTTCCGAGGAGTGGCTGGTGGGTTTGAACTGCCAGCCTTCTGGTTAGCAGTCAAGTGCCTTTAGGCACTACACTACCAGAGCTCTATTTCATTGTTACAGGTTACTTAAAAAAACATTTAAAATGAAAAAATATTTGGAACTCAATGTATCTTAAATTAGACTTAAAATATTCTGAGCTCAAATTCTACATACATCTTGACAAAATCACCCGAGTGGGAAAAGATATTCTCCTCCCTTCACCAATGTATTTGTGAACTTTCATCAAAAAGATTTTGAATGGGAGGCAGTTATTAAATTGGACAGTGTGTTTTTATGAGCAGAAAAGAGAGAGAAAAAATACATATTATTTATAACCCTCAAACATAATGCAGTTTGTCTAAGAAATAATACAACTAACTAGTCTAGATTTTTTTTGTTGTTCTTGCTGTTAGGTTCCATCTAGTCGGTTCTGACTCATAGCGACCCTGCGTATAACAGAGTGAAACACTGCCTGGTCCAGTCTGTATTTAGTTATTTATGTATATGTGTGTGTGTGTATATATATATATATATATATATATATATATATAATTTTAAGGAGCTCTGGTGGTGTAGTGAGTAAGGCAGTTGACTACTAACTGGAAGGCGAGAGGTTCAAACCCACCAGCTGCTCTGTGGAAGGAAGATGAGGCAATCTACTTTCATCAAGATTTACAGCCTTGGAAACCCAATGGGGTCTCTATGAGTCAGAAACGGCTTGATGGCAGTGAGTTTGGATGGAAATATATATGTGTATATATATATATATATCTTTAGTTATAGATATTAAATATGAGGCATATTTTTAATGCTAATGTGTAACCTCTACCCTATGAATTACTGAAACACACCAGTTAAAACCAAAACCTACTTATGGTAACTGTTTATTTGATAAACTATCTTTACAACATTTTTGTGAAACTATTATCTGAATAAGCAAAGGAATCAGAAAATATTTCTGCAGTCACTACACTTTGCAATGCAAACAGTCAAAGCAAGTGCAGTGTTTGCCTTTGATGACCACTAGGACCGTACCCTGCTCGTAATATTTGGTATTTATAGCACTCTCCCCTTTCAAGCTCACAGAGCTTTCATGTGATCTTTGCAAAAGTTCTTTGAGTTGGAAGCACATTCACCATCCATTTTCATTTTACCCTTGGAGTAATAAACCAAAGAAGGCAGAAATTAAATACCTTTTCTAAGATGTAACAGGCAAAGGTACAGCCAGGACTAAAAGACATTCATCCTGAATTGTAAACTGTGCCAACAGCCTGATGATTCTATTTGTCAATGATTGAAAGATATATTCTGTTTCACAAAATTGTAGTGGAGAAACAGCAAAACAGAGTCAAAGCACAGTGGCTTTGAATCAAAAAATTTAAGTCCGAGTCCCAGATCTGTTGGTTCTACTTTTGAGATCTCTACTAAGTTAGAGCTTTGTTCTCCCAAAATTAAAATGGGACTAATAAAATGGGACTATCAAATTGCTATCAGAATCCTGTAATAAGACATAAGTAAAAGGAATGTATAAATAGCAAGGGGCTATAAAAATCTTAAGAATTCAGTTTTTATGTGTTCCTGAAGGCTATTACAGCCTAAATTCTCCAAAGATTGATTATTTAGCCATTAAACTCTCCAGGTCATTTCCTGTTCTTCCTTCTGTCTTCAGCTAACTATCTTTTAGACATTCTGCTCTGTTCTTGAAAAAAATATGGTGGAAGGGCTAGTCCTGATTCCCCACTTTATTTTCAGAAGTAGGACATTACCTGGAATGTCAGAGTTACTATGCTGTTTCAACAACAACAACAAAAAAATCACTGCCCTTGAGTCAGTTCTGACTCATGGAGTCCCCATAGGACAGAGGATAACTGCCCCATAGGGTTTCTAAGACTGTAAACTTTATAGAAGCAGGTTTCTAAGACTGTACATTTTACAGAAGCAGACTGCCTTATCTTTCTCCCACAGAGAAGCTGGTGAGTTCAAACTGCTGACCTTTTGGTTAACAGCCTAATGCTTTAACCACTGTGCTACCAGAGCTCCTTCCATGCTGATTAGACATTCTTAATTACTATGTATGAGTTGGGGGCGACTCGACGGCAAATAACAACAACAACAACATGTATTATTTTACCGAGCACTGGTGGTGTAGTGCCTAAGGCATTTGACTGCTAAACAGAAGACTGGTTGGTTTAAATCCATCAGCCTCTTCATGGAAGGAAGAGTGGACGATCTACTTCCGTAAAGATTTACTGCCTTGGAAACCCAAAGGGGGTCACTATGAGTCAGAATTGACTCAATGGCAGTGAGTTTTTTTTTTTTTTTTTTAAATGTATTATTTTGGTGCTCCACACTGATGTTTGCACATATGAAATGAATGATAATTAAGTAAATTCACTGTTGTTATGTGCCGCCGAGTCGGCCCCCACTCATAGCGACCCCTCCTTAGGTTTCCTAGGCTGTATCACTACGGAAGTAGATTATCCAACCTTCCTTCTGAGGAGTGGCTGATGGGTTTGAACCACCAGCCTTCTGGTTAGCAGTCAAGTGCCTTAGGCACTAGGCTACCAGAGCTCTAAGCAGAAGGAATTAATGATTTTTTAAAATGTGACTTATAAGTACTATTTTATGTTTTGTTGAAATTAAAGGGGAAAATACCATGTTCAGGAAATGCATTTTAAAGCTCACTTATATTTGCAATGTTTAAATGATTCTTGACTCAAGGATAGAAGGTAGTGTCAGCTTTCAGCATTGTGGAATCTCTGGCTAATGTTTATTTAGGTGCCTTGCTTGTTGGTTTGCATAGAATCAAGCCCTGATATGATTACCTTTGTTACTTCTTAGAACTTGTTTACTGTCACCAAGGCTGGCTTGGAAACAGGAGGAGATGTAAATAGGAACCAGCTCCATAGACCAAGTGTTGTGCAGTTTTAGGTCTATCCCTGAACTCTCAGGAACTCATATACCTACCCCTAGAAAATCAATCTGTTAGGACAAAAAAGCAGTGTGTGACTGTCAACAGTGGTGCATGGAAACCAACATGGGTATGACTGATGGGCCTGGCACACAAACTGAACAAAACACAGTGTTCTGACTTACAGAAAGGAATCACCTTAAAACAGAACCAGGTTTGCAGCACTTTCGTTTAGACCTCACTCCACATCCTGGGCTCCTGCATTGTCTTTGGTCACCATAATCAGGAAAACCAAGAGTTTGTGTGTCTATTGCATGGGCCTGTTTTGTTAAAGCATGTGTATGTCAGGTAGTCCTTGAGCTTCCTATGTAAAAAGTCAGATGCCAAAAAATCCCCTTCTGTCCCTAACTCCCAGAATTTCTGGATCACCAACTATAATTCATTAAGAGTGTACCTTTTTACAAAACTGCATGTAATTTCAAATCCAGTATTTCACTGTGCAAAATTTCCAACTGTGTTCTGTATAAAATATTAATTTTAAAATGGAATAATGACTTTGATTTGTTCATAGTCCCCATGGAAAAAAAGCATTAAGTGAAATTTAGATAAGGGGCAAAATAGAGAGCACTAAAATTAAATTTGAGAAATTTTAATCAACAAATTATGGATGTGTAATATGACTGGCTGTATCATCTTGTTTCATAAAATGTAACCAGCATGTCCCTATTTGCAGCATCCCTGGTACCATATTGTACTGCACTGCAGTAATATTCTAATCTCTGTGCTGTGATAACACTATGATTAAGCACTTTTATTATAGAAATGCCTCATGACTGCTGAACTTTTCCAGTCCATTCTTATAGGAAAACACAAGTCCAAATGGATAGAAATCTGCGAAAGCCAATAAATGAGTAATTGGAGCCTTTCTTTTGCAAATCACACACGGCCACCAGGGGAAACTCTAACATTCATAGCACACATATATACCACCTACATTATTTATTTTCAATTTGTTCTTTTCTCTTCTTTGCAGGTGCCCTGAGATGTGATAAAGGACCGCTCGGCTCCGTCTCCGGGCTGAGTCAAAGTGAGTCCCTGCTCTTGATCTTCCTTTGGCTTTGTCTGGGAGAAAAACAAATATCATTAAACACTATGAATGTCTCATTTCAATTAAAAAATGTCAAGTTCTGACAGTTCTCCTTCAGGAACACATAGTACATGTTTTTTAACATCTACAGTTACCTGCTGGCTCCTAATGACATTTAAGTCCTTTATAATTTACATACTCTTATCATCATATTAACTGAGTTAATTTTTAAAAATTAAAGGTAAGCTATATATGACCATAGAGTAAATTTCAGACAGTTCAGAAAAATAATAAATAAAGAACTTCACCCCCTCCTTCCCATTCCACACTCATATCCCTAATTCTGTTTTCAATATTTTTTTTTCTTGATTTTTGTCTAGAAAATGCTTAATACATACCCTGTTGTCTTAGTTACCTAGTGCATCTAGAAAATAAATATCATAAGTGGGTGACTTTAACAAACAAATTTATTCTCTCGCAGTTTAGGAGACTAGAAGTTCAGATTCAGGATGCTAGCTCTAGGGAAAGGCTTGTACTCTCTATTGGCTCCAGGGAAATGTCCCTGTCTGCTTTCAACATCTGTGGGCCTGGTATTCCTTGCAGATCTCCATGTATCTTGTCAACCTTCTGGGTCTACAACATTCTCAGCACAAAGACCCTGGGTCCAAAGGACACACTTTACTCCCAGCTTTTCTTTCTTGGTGGTAGTCAGGTCCCTCTGATCTCTGCTCACTCTTTAATCTTTTATATCTCAAAAGAGATTAACTCAAAATAAAACCCAATCCTATAATTTGTATCCTGACTTATTAACATACCTGCCTCTAATCCTGCCTCATAAAGTTTAAGATTTACAATACATAGGATAGTTATACTAGATCACACAATGGAGGATAATTACATAATTACTGAGAATCATGGCCTAGGTAAATTGACACATATTATTTGGGTATACAATTAAATCCATAACACTACATCCACATTTATATTAATTTACTTTGCACAAATGTAATTTTACAATAAAACTGTTTGTGTCTTACTTTTCTTTCCATACAAAAATAAACTCTAAATCACTTCACTTCATATCTGCACATTATAATTTCCTCCTATTCTTTATAATGGCTAAAATCTACCATTACATCCCTGAAACAGTAGACTATTAGCCATTATAAAGGATAAAACCAAACTCACTGCCATTGAGTCAATTCCACTTATAGTGACCCCTCCTTGGGTTTCTGAGGCAGTATCTCTATGGAAGTAGATGGCCCAATCTCAGAAGGAAGACTGGGCAATCTACTTTCATAGAGTACCACCTCGGAAATCCAAGGAGCGGTTGCTATGAGTGGAATCGACTGGATGGCAGTGAGTTTGGTTTTATTCTTTATAATAGTTAATAGTCTACCATTTTAGGGATGTAATTAGAGTTAGTCATTTTGCTATTTCCCTTTTATGAACATTTAGTATTTAAAAAAAAAAAAACTATGTATATAATCCTGCAATAAAAAATTCTTATGTGCCAAGATATTCAGTGAATAAATTCCTAGCAGTGAGTATGTACATTTTAAATATTGATGTACATATTCTTTCATTCCAGTAATTACATTCCAAGCAGCAGTGAATGAATGTGCCTGATATAAAATACATAAACCAAAATATGAAATATGAAATGATATTTTGCTAGGTGAAAAATGGCATATTGTTTTAATTTGCATTTTTATCATTATGAATGAGGATGAGCATTTCTTTAAATATTGTCTATTTGCATTTGTTTCTTGTAGTCTATTCATATTATCTTCACCAATTTGAAAATTAAGCTGGTCTTTTTCTATTTATTTCTAAGAGCTCTTTTTTTACTCAGAAATTGCCATTTTCTTGTCATGTATGCTGCCAAAATTGTTTCTATTTGGTTACTTAACTTCGGACTTTATTTACATGACATAAATTTTTTCTTTTATTTTTATGTTGTCAGACTTACCAATTGATTCTTTTGTGACTTATAGACATTATGTCTTATATATCTAAAACTTTTCATTCAAAAATTATTTTGTGACAATCCAGCATGTTTCCTGCCAATTTCTATGTCTTTCCATTTTTAAAAATACTTAATCCAATAGACTCTATTTTAATAAAATGTGGTAGAGATCCAATTATATTATTTTGTTTCATAAAACTTATTCTCCAACAGAGGAGCACTGGTGATGCAACAGTTAAGCGCTTGGTTGCTAACCAGAAGGTTGGAGGGTCGAACCCACCCAGAAGCTGGCACCAAAGACCTAGTGATCTGCTTCCATAAAGATTACAGCCAAGAAAATCCTATGGGGCAATTCTATTCTGTCACATGGGTCCCTGTGGGTTCAAAATAGAGTCAATGGCAACTAACAATAGCAACAACATTGTCCAAGGACAAATAATAAGTTGGTTATATTATATTAGGAAATATTTAGTTTTTATATTTTAGTCAATTAATCAACATTCAAGTTCATCCTAAATAACTTGTATCTGTATTACAGTGATTGCAAAATATAAAAAAATGATTAAAAATTATTATTTATTTAAACTTCATCATTCAGTCATTATGGTATTATCAAAGCTTTATGATTCCTCCCCTTAATATAAACAGCTTGATTTGGGTGCTTTGTTGGGGATGCCATCTAACAATTAGTGATGACTATGTGCCAGGCCCTATTCTAGATCCTCACTATTTTATTTCTAAATTAATCCTCATGAATATCCAATGACATAAGTATTATTACATTCCACTTACAGATGAGAAAACTGAAAGTCTAATGATATGTCATATGGTCACACAGCTAGTAAGGAGTAGAGCCAGTATGTGTACCAGATTGCACCAGTATCCTTCCTCCTTGGTGCACACAGCACCAAGTCCTTTAATGACCTCAATGAATTTTCAGGACTGCTGCTCTGTGCAACACAGACTAATGTGTATCATTGTCCCCGTTTACCTGAGTTTAGATTCCAAGTCTTTCAAGAATTTTAATTACTACCATCCCCACTCCACCCTAGAATTCCTTAAACCCACTGTTGTTGAGTTGATTCCGACTTACAGCAAATCAGTAGAAGTGTCCCGTAAGGTTTCCTCAGCTATAATCTTCAGGGAAGCAAACTGCTACATCTTTCTCCTGAGGGGGGTTGGAACTAAAGATCTTTAGGCTAACAGCTGAGCAATTTAACCACTGCATCACTAGGGCTCCTTGGGATTGCCCTATGGACCAGCAGAAAGAAAGTTTTATTCACTGTAAAAGTCTAATTTGATGCTTTTTTTAAATTTTAAATTGTTCCCATTTTACTTCTCAAACCCAGAAAGAATATTAATAAAGTATGCTATATTACTATAGACTTGAGTGACTAATAACAGATCACAAATCATAAAGCAAAACATCAAAAGAGGCACTTCATTTTGAAACTTAGAGGGCTGTACAAAGTACATTTTATCGTATTGTTAAAAACGAAAATTATGTCTTCAGGTGTTAAATTTTTCAGTCCACAGCTACATTTGAAAATGTAATTATTAATCCTGCAGGGAGTAATTTTAAGTATTCTATATTTAAATTGGAAAACAGACAGAATTTAAAGACAGTGTATCTGGGAATGTGGAAAGAAAGGGCAGCAGGCTGCTCATGCAGTATTAGTTGGTGCCAATATGCCGAGTGGAATTGTAATTCTAATTACAAAAGGACCAGATTAGATATTGTTGGTAGTCAATAAGCAAACTCCACTCTCAGTGGAAAATCCAATTAACAACTATGATTTTTTTCACATCTAAACAATAGTAATTTTATAGTTTTCAAGAAAATATCCCTCAAAGAGAAATATCAAAGAAACTTTTCCAACTCTGAATGGAAGAAAAAAGTTTCCCTTGATAATGTTTTGTTATAATTTAACCCTAACTGATGGATGGAATTGAAAACCAAACCATTTATGTTTAATGTTCCCAAATTGAGGAATGGATTTAATACAAACCTGGGTTGGTAACTCTTGATGAAGAAAACAAATAGAATATAATAGGGAGCAACTCATTTTTTAAAAAAGATTAAAACATTCATGGCCAAAATACTTGTAATTGTTTATATATCTACATACATATTAGGAGCTCTGGTGGTGTAGTACCTAAGGTATTTGATTGCTAACCAAAAAGTTGGCAGTTCAAACCCACCAGCCACTTGGTGGAAGGAAGACTTGTTGTTGTTGTTATGTGCCGTCGAGTCGGCCCCGACTCATAGCGACCCCTCCTTGGGTTTCCGAGGCAGTATCACTAAGGAAGTAGGATCGCCCAACCTTCCTTCCGAGGAGTGGCTGGTGGGTTTGAACCGCCAGCCGTCTGGTTAGCAGGCAAGTGTCTTAGCCACTATGCTAGCAGAGACTGGGCAATCTATTTCCGTAAAGATTTACCTCCTTGGAAACTGAATTCAGTTGCTATAAGTCAGAATCAACTTGATGGCAGTGAGTTTGTTTTTTGGTTTTATACATACATATACACAGAAACACATTTTATACATACAAATACACAAAATTACAATGAAAATATATAATTATATGAATATACACATGTGTTTATTATAACTAGAAACAAGCCAAGTATCCATTGTTGTTGTTGTTCTGTGCTGTCAAGTCGGACCCAACTCATAGCGACGACTCCTTGGGTTTCCGAGACAGTATCACCACGGAAGTAGATTGCCCCATCTTCCTTCTGAGGAGTGGCTGGTGGGTTTGAACCATCAGCTTTCTGGTTAGAAGTCACGTGCTTTATGCACTACGCTACCAGAGCTCCTAAGTATCCATAGACAAAAGAATATATGAAAACTATGCAATAGTTATAATGTTGTTGTTGATATGTGCCATCAAGTCGGACCCAACTCATAGCGACCCCTTCTTGAGTTTCCGAGGCAGTATCACTACGGAAGTATAATTCCATTAAACTGGAAATAAGGAAATCAAATGGAAAATGAATTAAATAGAGTCTGTCTATAAACAGAAATATCTGTAAAATGTAGTGTTGAATACAAAAGCAAGAAATAAA